AGAGCTAGGAACCGGAGCTTGTCGGTCTCCCTCATGTCGACCAGAGACAGCCAGAGATGGCGGTCCTGGTCCTGGTACTGGTCCTGGTCTCCCATGTCACTGCCCGAAGCAACCCTCTGAGGAGGATTGGATTGAGGAAGAGGCACGGGGACTCCGCCCCTGCCAATGCCATTTTCATACTGAAAAAGTGTCGAGCACATCCAAGCAAATTTTTCAGTTACACAGGTAGGCTACCTGAAACTGATTTCTGACTGACTAGGCAGCCTAGTTTAATGATCTACAACAAAATAGAGAGAGTTTTGGTGATGAATGAAATATTTAATTACCACAATACACGTTTCCTGTTAAAAAACAACATCAAAAGTAAATTTTAAAAAAATAACGTCGGTCAAAATGTACATTTACAAACAAACTGGCCACCAAACGCAAATTTCAGACAGCATTTTTATTTTGTAGCTCAACTGTCATGGAATGGACCACACAGGATTGTGCAACACTATCTCACGACCAATTCGTACGAATTCGACGCATGATTAAAAAGTGTCTAATTCGTACGACCTCACTCGTACTAATTCGTACGATTTGTCTAAACCCACGTGATGGTTAGGTTTAGGGGCGGGGTCAGGGGTAGGTCATTCGTACGAATTCATACGAATTGGCCAATTCGTAAAATATGTACGATTTAGCAAAATCGTATTAATTCGTACGAGTGAGGTCGTATGAATTGTTACGAATTAGCCACTTTTTAATCATTCGTCGAATTCGTACGACTTGGTCGTGAGATCGTCACACTTAAACAATTCAACATATAATTCCTCTAAAATATCTCACAATTGAAAATAACCAGTTCTTAAGGGTCAATTGTTCATGAATCAAACACACAGTCTTCATTCGTTGTTGAGTGCATGCAGGAAAAACATTTTCCCAACCACTGCAGATAAATGTTACAATATTGGTGAGTTTTGTTTTCTGGAACCCTGAAACGTGTCGTGTCTTTTAAATAATGACTGACTGATTCGAACTGTATAAACGTGTTTACTTTACTTCCTTTAGGCAACGTTAAACGTACATGACAATACACTGGCGCTTCTCGTCGCACTTCCCGTGACATCATCTCTATTGCGCCAACCTAGAACACCATAGCAACAACACCACAAAACGTAAACACTATTTCACCTCTAACATAAATTCAGACCCTGTTTACACATGGTCTTAAGATACATATTGGTCGATCGGATCACAACTGAATAGAGGTGTAAATGAGATTAAAACAAAACGACATTTTGAGCTTGATTCATTCTTTAACGGTTTAGAAGCAACAAGTCAATAAACGTTTTTAGTTACAAAGATCTCTTTTTCTCCAGAGCAAGGCTAAATACGATTCAGCATCCTGTATCATTTTTTATAGAAATTTGCTCTATCAAACACATAACCCAGTGTCCTTTGATTTAGACTGCACAGCAACAGAGTCAGCGCTTTTGAAAGACCCCTATATCCGTTCTGTTTTGGCTGATGACTCATGGCCCTGCTAGGCTTTTGAGATCTGCAAGCAAGGCAGACAAACCCTTTTCCCCAAAGAGTCAGGTTCACTATAGCAACCAAATGCATGGATGGATTATTTATTTGTCCCTTAAGGATGATCTTCTGTCAGTGATACCCATCAAGCACACGGAAAGTGCCGGCGGACAAAATCTTATGCCCTCTCCTCACCCCCACCCATCGTTTGGTTTCCACGGAGCACCTTCAACCTGTTTCTGAAGCTGTCCAGAATAAATGAAGCCATCCGTCAAGCTTCTGCTTTTATGAGGTGTATAGTGGAAAACGAAGTGATAAAGTCACCCGTGTAAAAATACCCACAATGGAGTTGAATTAGAAGTGAGATTAATGATGTGGATCTAGGATGGCTCAGTTACAGGTTAGCTAAACCCAACCTCTTTTGTAATGCAGATTACACTGTCTCCTCTCCATTCTCTCTCGTGCTCCCTCTGCTAAATGAGCCTTTTATAGCCGTATAATTTGCGAATACCGAATTACCAGCCCCCTCATCCTGCCGTACGATTATAAGTGAGTCTGCTGTTTTGCTGTTATCAAGGCTATAGGATGATATCTGTCACATTTATCGGAATAACTGAGTTACCATGAGTTACCTAGAGTTACCATGGAGATTTATTTTCTGTTCCACATCACAATGTTTTTATTATATCTTGAATTCAATGTCTGCAGTGCACATAATTCATCCATTCATAGAGTGAAAAACCACAAAAATCACAGCTGGCTTATAGGCATTATGCTGAGATTAATATTATTTTAATATTTGAGTAGGCTACATATTTAAAATTGCTATCAAATTATTTATAAATGTAAACAAGCATAAATTAAACAAACACTAGCATCAAATTGTAAGAAAATTTCCTCATAATGTCATTATTCCCCAAAAATATACATTTTTTAAAGTATGCAATAAAAAAAATGCAATTTTAAATAATAAATGCATAATTGATTTGTTTGGTTGTTGGCTGAGGCTATTCATCTCAAAACGGGTAAATATCACCCAAATACTATACAAACAAATACATCATCTTAATAATAAACTGAAAAAAATGTAGAAACAATTTTCATTTAGCTAATTGCTAATAAATTTCACAAATAATAACAAAGACTTATTAACACGTTGAATTAAACATGACATTTTGAAGTAGAAAGACTTAAAAAGTATTTTCTTGAAGAAAGTCCTCAACTTAATTTTTTTAGTAGTAGTGAGTACTAGTGAGACTAAAAATAACCTCTTTCATTAAATCCAATTAATATGAATACAAATAAAAACTAAGTGGCCCCATGAAGATTTATCCATGCAATTTTGATATATTGTAGACACACAGCTTGTAGTTCAATTTGTATCTCTGCATGATAGTCCTGAAGACTATATCATCACTCAGCATGGGTTGAAAAATTCATTGTGACGACTAATAGGCTGTAGTATAATCTAATAAAGGACATGTTTGTTCTGAAACCCTGGGGAACAAATTAAAATGTTCATATAATATGTTTTAATTTGTCTCAGTTATTAGCCTATAATCTGCAAAACAATACAATTTTCCGGGCAAGATCCGCCAATATAGAATCTGTCCAATACTGTCACTCTGGGCTAATAATATTTTATAGGAAATAAACCACAGATTATATCTATCTGTAATTGATATGCTCTTATCTTGAATATTTTCATTAGCCCACTTTAAACTTGGTAAGATCACCTCCTGTTGGAAATTAATTTTAATGTGCCACACCAGACTTTAGTGTTTAGACCTTTTGTTTCTTCAGACACATTGACATTGAAATCAGCTCTTTAAGTTTTGCCATTTTTTAATTTAATGCTAGATAAAACATCAAAAGATGTGCTGTGGCATTTACCAGAGTGAGCAGCGTGACAAATTTAGCAATTAACTGAGAATGATGATATGTGTATCATAAGAAGAATCTTCTTGAGAGTCAGAAAACTCAATCTGTTTCGTCCTTTATTCATTTAGTATCCTTTTACATCGAGATGATGCCTTTGCAAAATTACTGTGGATTCCATACTTTCTGACAAAAGTCCAAAATTCCCTCCTGCGATGTATTTCATTACATATCGTATGAAATATTAAACTCACTCACAATCTTCAGATGGAAATGATATCACTTAACAGAGATTGCAAATTTTACCTTTGTGCATATGAACCCAATCAGAAAGTGTTGGAGGACAAAATCTTATGCCCACACCACAAGTATAGCACCACCACATTCCTTTGGGAAAGGAAAAAACAGGTCACCTAATTTTGCTTACAGCCTATCTTTTTTAGGGAAGTTGTTATTTGAGCTTTTCCCCCTAGAGTTACGTGCATGATCTCACAATATAATTCTCAACTTTATATCTTAATTTGCATCCTGCTATTGTGTAAATAATGAGGTTATAACAAATAAAGTGTATGTGCCAGAGCTTGATAATTACTTTAAATTTGGTATACTGGTTTGTAAAAATACTTTACAAACTAATTTTTCTGTATAAAATGAATGATGGCTTGTAGCATACAGTTATAGTACTACTATCATCAAAACGTCAGAAATTAAAATGACACATATTGTTTAAAGTGGATCCCATATCCTCATGAGACCTTTTTGTTTTAATCATTGTTTGGAGTCGTGTCTCTAATTTGCATGTCTGGGCAACATGTAAAAAAAAAAAAAAAGAATAGCTATAGCCTACTAAATACAGTAACTCGGCAACATTTTCATAATATCTCATATTTATTAATATGTAATTTCTTCCCTATGCAATTCACCTGGTGCATGCTGTAAGTGAAACTGGACATGGAACTGATGCATGCCTCAAGAAAGTCATATTCTGATTTGAAACCCCACTAAAGTTGTCTTGAGATGTTAAATTATTTATGACAAACAATATGGGAATTAGTCTGATTTAAATGTTAATTGCAAAATATTATCATATTCCCATTAATGCTGAATAAAATATCAGTCATATTTGAATACCAATGAGAGGGAGTTGTTATGGTGTAACCGCCAAACTGAAACGTCCTGTGTTAAAACTGTGGCTTATAACTGGTCTCAAAGATATTTGTTAAAATATAATGTCCTCTACAGAGGAAAAAACTCTACTGATGGGTCTCACGAGGATATGAACGAGGATATATTATTGAATATATATCTATTTATTGATTCTTTTAAGCTGCTGAATATTTTAGAGTTGTCAAATTGATATATTCCATGTCACTTTTGTCTTTATTCTTCTTTATTTATGTTTATTTTATGTTTTTTGTGGTTATGTTTATTATGGTTCCCATGAGTGTAAAACAAATTCCCCTTTGGGGCAATAAAGGTTTCATTCAACATTCAACGGTTCTTACAACCAATGTACTAAAGGGAATGGCTTGAGTGCTTGTGGAGTCCAGCAGGTCACTGTTGTCTCTTCAGTGTTTAAATAAAGTTATTTAGAAGCTCATTTCCGTTTCCAAAATGGCGGAGTACGATCTGACCACCAAGATTGCACATTTTTTAGATCGACATTTGGTCTTTCCGCTGCTGGAATTTCTTTCTGTCAAGGAGGTAATATATAATTCACAGTAGTGTAAAGTAAATACTTCGTTACTCATCTATATTCTCAATTATTTGGTAGTCGCTAATCGTGCAGCGCCACGTGTGGCGGAAAGTCAGCTGGTGGGGATAAATAATTTGTTTTTCTTATCTGATATTAAAGCAGAAATTACCTCTTTATAGTGATAATTCCATTAAACATTTATTTGTTTTGTATTATTTTTTACAGATCAGCTTAATTTAAATCACCAATTTGTATTTCGTAGCTCCTATCTCTTTTTATTTCTACTTTTATAATATTAGACTTGGACATAGTGTGATATTATTCAAAGTAACACCTTCAACGTTACCATAAATACGTAAATATTGTCATCATTAATTGTTGTGGTATATGTTAAAATACTATTACTGTGTGATACAACGTTGTTTGTTGTGAGATAAATGAAAATATGTATATCATGTAAGTTAGTATTCAGTGCTTTGACTGTGATGCATTTCTGTTAAAATCATGTTATTATGGTGCATATTACCTCTTTAATTTAAAGTCAGTCATATATTCAGAAATCCTGATATAGTGCTGTGCTGTTAAATCTGATGTTTATTGTCACCTCAGATCTACAATGAGAAAGAACTTCTCCAAGGAAAGCTGGATCTTCTCAGTGAAACGAACATGGTGGACTTCGCCATGGACGTCTATAAGAACCTTTATCCTGACAAAGACATTCCACATTGTAAGTGTTTCCCCTCTCACCTAAAATAAAGTTAAATAAATTAAAAACATATCTGTATATCTGGAATTTAATCAAATCAGCCAGATATATTATATGTTTTGATTCAAGTCCTAAATGCCGATGAACGGGTTAAGTTAAAATGTAATGAATATGTAAAATGTAAGTGTGCATATATTTAGCAAAATGCTCCTCTTCAGAGTTAATTTTTCTAGCTAATTGATCATGGTTTTGTGGTCATTCAATGGCTTTCCTGAGGTAAATGTGAAGTTACCTGACATTGTTTACTAGCACTTTTATTCTCTTTCTGCACTTGAAGCACTGACTGAGCAATTCGATTAATATTTTTACGTCAAATATAGCGTCTTACTCTATAGCATGTTACCCCACCAGTCACGCATTTGGAAAATTATTATTTTTAATGTTTTTTTAATATTTTTTATAAAAGTCTCATAGCCTCATCAAGCCTCCATTTATTTGATCAAAAATACAAAAAACAAAAAAACAAAACAAACATGAATATTGTAAAATATTATTACAATTTAAAATAATGGTTTTATATTGTAATACTTCTTCAGTATATTATTTCTGTGATGTAAAACTGAATTTCCGGCATTATTGATATAGTCTTCAGTATCACATGATCCTTCTGAAATCATTCTAATGTGCTGGTTTATTGTCAATGTTGGAAAGAGTTGTGCTGCTTAAATACATTTATGACAAAAAAGTATTAAAAGTTAAAAAAACCTTTTTTTTGAAAGAAATTAATTCATACTTTTATTCATTAAGAATGTGTTAAATGGATAAAAAGGTGATAGTAAAGATTTATATTGTTAAATTATATATTTATATTTTTTAGTAATCGCTGTCCTTTTTGATTTGTTATTTATCAATTAATCCTGAAAAAGTATAACATGCTTCAACATAATATATTAGTATTAATTAATGTTATTAATTTGATTAATATTATATTAATATAATTAGTATTAAGCAGCACAACTATTTCCAACATTGATAATAATAATAAACTTATCAAATCAGCATATTAGAATGATTTCTGAAGGATCATGTGACACCAAAGACTGGAATAATGGCTGATGAAAATTCAGCTTTGGATCACAGAAATAAATTATATTTTAATGTATATCAAAATAGAAAACCATCATTTTAAATATTTAAAAATATTACAGTATTTTTGATCAAAGAAATGCGGGTTTGATGTGAAACGTCTTTGAAAAATATTACAAATAGTAATGTTTCCAAACTTTTGATCAGCACTGTATATTTCATGTATAATATGACATGTAATAATTTCTCTCTGTTCAGCCTTAAGGGAGAAAAGAACCACAGTGGTTGCCCAGCTGAAGCAGCTCCAGTCTGAGACTGAACCCATAGTGAAGATGTTTGAAGATCCAGAGACTCAGAGACAAATGCAGTCCACCAGGTCTGCTGTCACCGTATAACTGTACTGCACCTTGAAATACAATATCTGGTGTGTTTAGTGGTCATGCAAGTCACTACTAAGATGCACTTTTTTATTTTTAGAGATGGGAGGATGCTGTTTGAATATTTAGCAGACAAACATAGTGTAAGTTTTGCAACACACCTCAAATTATAACCAATTATCCCTTTTTTATTTTCAGAGAAACTAATTGACAGCTTATTGCAGCGTTGAATATTTCATTTCACTGCCATATTCTTCTCCCTCAGTTTCGTCAGGAATATTTGGATACGCTATACCGTTATGCCAAATTCCAGTATGAGTGTGGCAACTACTCGGGGGCTGCGGAGTATCTCTACTTCTTCCGTGTGCTAGTAAGTGTTCTTGGTCATGTAAGCAAGACTTCTTGTGTTTATCCTATGTTTTTGGTTAATTTGATTTGTGAAGTTTGAAAACGACTTTAGCAGAAAGTTGGTTTCTTCCCTTAGTGTTTTAGTAAGGGTTAATGACCGACGAGGTGTCCATTGTCAGGTTTTAATGGACGACGGCGAGGCGTGAACCGGCCGACGCGCAGCGGAGGACGGTTGCCTCCGCCGAAGTCCATTTAAACCTGACAATGGACACCTCGAAGGGCATTAACCCGCTTATACCATGGTCTCTTGCCAAATAAAACATTTTTAAAACATTAGCTGCTAGTTTATATTTTAGTTAGGCAAAATCAAGTTTTTACAAATAATAACTCGCCTGGTTTATTTAGCAACCGGAGATATAATTTATAGTCCGCTCAGCTTGTAGAACCCTTCAGGTTCAAAAATGCATTTTTTTTCATGAAACACAAAGGTAGGCATAGTTATTATTTTTTTTAATTACACATAAAACAATTAATCAAACAGGCTTCTTAGTCTTGAAACGCTGTACTCTCCTCCTGCCGGTTGTCTGCTGCGTAAAACTCCCGCAGGGTCTCATTCAGAGCAGCAGCGGTGTCATTTTCTTTGCGACGTTTCTCCGTTTTATTTACATTTTTTTTTCTTCAGCAGCATCCCAGTCGTCATATTCTCCATAAATGTTAAAAGAAATAACGAAGTCCCTCATTGTTGTATTAGTAGGCTATGTATCTAACTAACGTTAGATGTTTGTTTTGATAGAGCAAATTGTTAACGGATACTTTGACTGCCTGTTGCTATGGTTACTCACAGCTGTTGTGGGCAGCGCATTTATTTATTAATTTCGAATGGTAAACAGGCAGTTTCACCAGAACTACTTTACTAGGTGTCCTCTATCACTTTTTAACGGACACCCTGCAGCCAATCAGAATCGAGTATTCACCCAGACCATGGTATAAATAGAGTTAAAGTGTTTTGATTTTAATAATTTGCTTGTACAGACAACCAATAACAGTACCTTGAGGTGGTTAGAAAGATTAAAGGAACATAAAACAAAATATTATGCGTTGTAACTGCTATGTTTTAAATGCGCAAAAATAGTTTTGCTTATACCAGTATATGTCTGCTATTTTTTTTTATATAATTTTATATTTATTTATTGAAATTAAAATGTATTTAAAAATTATTTGCAGACATATCTTGATATAAGACAAGCTGTTTGGGTGATATTTGAAATATTCATACTCTTCAAAAGTTCAGGACAAGTAAGATTTGTAATTTATTTATTCAGCAAAGATCTGTTAAATTGATTAAAACTGACAGTAAATATATATCTATAAGTTTATAGAAAGAAATGTATAACAGTTTCTACAAAAATGTTGCACAGCTCCTGTTTTTGAGCTTTGAATCAGAATATTAAAATTAATTACAATTCTGAAGGGTCATGTGACCATGAGAACAGAAGTATTGGCAGCTGATAATATCAATAATTTAGCATGAAAATATATTAAAGTAGTAATGACTTCATTTTTCAATTTCTATTTAAGTTGCAGTTATATTTATTTATGAATGAATGAACAATTTTTCTTAGTGATTTCAAAATAAAATAAAAGTCTGTTGTGGGTTCAAAATTGTGTCCTAACCAGTCGAGACATGACAATTTTCATAAACGCTGAAGCAACAGTATATCCGAAAAATTTATAATTGTGGGAGCTGGCTTAATGAAATTTCACTGTGGAAATTGGCAGAGAATTGAGACCAACAAAATCATTCAATCATCATATATTTTGTTTTTATGACTCAGGTTCCCTCCACGGACAGGAACGCTCTGAGCTCTCTCTGGGGAAAACTGGCATCCGAGATCCTCATGCAGAACTGGGAGGCGGCCATGGAGGACCTGACCCGTTTACGAGAGACCATCGACAACAACGTATGTCTGTCCGGCATCCTTCAAGCCTCTGTCTCCCCTGTATAATAGAAGCTTTGCGGCTGTATTTCATCAGCTGGAGAAATCCAATATCCTTCCCACCCGGTTAATTTGCTGTATTACCCATGTTCCTTTGAGCTCAGATATAACAGCCGACATCAGGCATTAGATTAACTACACACACAAAATTGACTAGGATGACATTTACATTGCATCAGCTTTGAGAAGTAAATGCTTGGAATTTTTATTTGCATTGCAGTTAAAGATGGATGTGTGTAGATTTACTGGGGCTTCGCTTGTTTTGCTAGTCTCGACATGACAAGGCTGAAGCAATGCTGACATATTTTTAATGAAACCATGTTTGTCTTTCCTGCCACGGTTCAGTCGGTGAGTTCCCCTCTTCAGTCGCTGCAGCAGAGGACGTGGCTCATACACTGGTCTTTGTTTGTGTTCTTTAACCACCCCAAAGGCAGAGACAACATCATCGAGCTGTTCCTCTATCAGCCCCAGTGAGTACAGCAACACAAAATTGCCTCTTTGTTATTATTAGCACTCTCAAATTGCTCATTAAAGAATATAGGAATGCAGCACTCCGCATTTGCATAACATTTTTGTTGTCACTTGCTAAAGGGACTTGCCATAATGTGTGGGTTGTGTTTGCATCAATAGCTGAAAAATTCACTGTTAATGAGATTTGTTCTTGAAAGCGTTACATTTTTAGGGGGTACAGTGCTTGTTTGCATGACCATATAATGAGCATTGCTCAGTCTGAGCACTTTGAAGATGATACACTCTGCGTTAAGTGTTTGAAAGACCACAGTGATGTAATTTTAAAACAGGAACCAATCAAAGTTTTTTTTTTTTTTTTTTGGACAAAATATCCACTTTTTTTTCCTCATGGTTTATAATTGTCATTGGCTTTTAGAGCTACATATCTGTACTGATTTCTTAAATTTATTTGATTCAGTTTCTCAAATTCTGATTCAATATTATTTAATTTTGGAATGTTTATGTTATTTGAAAATCTAAAAAATAATATTTGAAATTGCAAAACATAAACCATATACACTACAGTTCAAACGTTTGGGCTCTGTAATATTTGTAAAATGTTTTAAAAAAATTGGGCACCAAGGCTATTATTTGATAAGAAATACACAGTTATCTCAAAAATAATGGGGAATCTGAATTTTTAGCATCATTACTCCAGTCTTCAGAGTCACATGATCCTTCAGGAATCATTCTAATATGCGAATTTGCTGCTAAAAACAAAACAAAAACATGTCTTATGATTATCATCATTAAAATATATATTTTTTCAGGATTCTTTAATGAATACAGATTTTGAAAGAACAGTATTTATTTGAAATAGAAATCTTTTTTTTTAATATGATAAAGATCACTTTTAATAAATTTAATGTATCCTTGCTGAATAAAAATATACATTTCCTATTTTCTTTAGAAAAAAAAAAACTTTACTCACCCCAAGCTTTTAAACTGTGATGAATAAAAAATAGGGCTATCAGTTAAACGCGTTATTTACGGCGTTAACGCAAACCCATTTTAATGGCGTAAATATTTTTATCGCGCGATAAACGGTCTTTTTGGCCTAGCAAACTTTGTAGGGTTTTTTTTTCACATGCTTTTGCAACAGGACGTGGCATGCGCTATGATACCCATCGTTTCAATGGCATGTGCCGCGCGAAGACATTTTGTTGCTTCGTCGACCGGAGCTAGCTAGACCGGAAACAAAACAGGCACGTCGCACACACTTGTTTAGGCTTGCGAGATGGCCAAATAGTTGGTTAATGTTACGTTTTGAGTGGATGACGAGCGCGGGACGCCGAAATGGATGCCAATAAGATTCTGAATGGAAAGTTTACTTTTAAAAAGTTGCCAAATGGTTCCATTGACAAGACCAAAGTGATCTGTGTGTTTTGTCGTTGTGAACTGAGCTATCATCATCGTGTTCGCGGCACATCCAGTCTGAAATACAACTTCATAATGGCCAAACACACACACACAGTTAATGCGAATTCTCCGCCCAATTGATTCTTCGTCAATATCAGGACCTCATCAATATTTCTTTCACCCTTTTATTGGACCGTGTGAGATTATTTACTCCAAGTGTGAATGTTAGTGTGAAATTGAACACAGTACATGCCAATGTTGTTTTCAATAAAAAAAAAAAAAAAAAAATTGCACAAAACAAGCCAATCCACTTTTTCATGTTGATAAGAACATTAAAATGAGAAAAAATAATGGGACAAAAAGAAATCGGAGACATTTAGAATAGATAATAATGTGCGATTAATCGCGAGTTAACTATGACATTAATCCGATTAATCGCGATTAAATATTTTAATCCTTTGACAGCACTATTAAAAGATGTTATGCATTACTGATGGATGTTGTCTGTTTATAGGTACTTGAACGCAATTCAGACCATATGCCCCCACATTCTGCGCTACCTGACCACGGCCGTCATTACCAACAAGGACGTGAGGAAACGACGACAGGTCCTTAAAGACCTGGTCAAAGTCATCCAACAGGTTAGCAGTGTTGAGCAGTAGCGTTGCTACAAGTAGTGATGCTTCTAGTTTAACTACATTTCTCAGTAGTGTGGTGGTAGTGTAGCTGTTTTCTGAATCAAATAGCTTTTCAGTAGCGAAGCACAAGCTAAATTTTCCCCAAGCATTTCTAAAGATCAATCTCAAATCGGAAATACCACTGCTAATTATCACTGATTCATAAATACTATTTAAAAAGGAATCATGCGTTTTCTGTGTCTCAGTGAATGAATGGATCAGACACGCGGATTCATTTACCACACACACAACACAAACTGAAGCACGCTCGCAATGTTTTCAGCATATATGAGGACATTAATAGATGCATTTCATCTACACAGCCGCTCTGAGAGTCACTTTAGCAGCATTTTACCTTGATTTGAGAAAAGATCATTTGATTAGCTTGATTTGAGAAAAGAGCATTAAAATGAGAAAAAAATAATGGGACAAAAAGAAATCAGAGACATTTAGAATAGATAAAAATGTGCGATTAATCGTGAGTTAACTATGACATTAATGTGATTAATCGAGACTCACAGAGACTTAAAGATCTACATGGCAACCTGTTAAAATAAAATGATTAAAAAAAAGAAAAAAAAATCATTAGTCCTACATTTTAAATAAATTGGTCATTACAATTTAAACCATAAAAAAAGTGTAATTAATTATAAGATAAATTACATTATTTTATCATTTTAAAATAATTAATTTATTTAAAAATTGTAAAAAATTATTGTTAAATTGTGTACGTTTCATGATTTCAATTAATTACGTTTCTGATTATTAAAATTTTATTTTATTTTATTTTAACCATTAAAATGGGAGTCCAGAAAAAGGAAAAAAAAAAAAGAATAAATAAATAAATAAAATATAATAAATAATAAAACTACAAATTTGGAATGTGGGTAAAAATAAAACGGATTTCATAGGACTTTACAAACCAGCTTTTTGGTGCATTACCATGTATGATGTGACATCACGTACTGTACCAATATCAATCCTTGGGCTGACACATGAGAAATGTACTTAATCGAAAAAAGATGCACACACTCTTGACACCTGGTTTTGTTATAGTTTTATATAGTTATATGGTTTATAGTTATTTAATGTTATGTTTTTTTGTTGTTCGTTTTGCCAAATTGTTTTGGAACAGTTGTTGAATACACAATAAAACTGCCAAATTATGCCTGTCTATATTTGATTGACTATATTTGATTACTGAAATAGTTTGGACTAATGAAGTTCAATATAAAAAAAAATAAATAGCTTAGCTGTAGTAAACTACTTTTCGCTGAAGCTTAGCTTGCTACATTTCCTAGGGTGGTGGCTTCAGTGTAGTGAAGCTACATTTAATGTAGAGTAATTGCTAGCTTAGCTCACTACATTTTCTTAGCTTGCCCAACACTGCAGGTTAACATGATCGCTGCAGATTTAACTAGGCGGGTGGGTTTTCTGAATGGCCAGTGGGTATATAGTTATGCTGTGGCAATTATGCGTGAAATTGCTATGGATGCTTCAATGTGCGTGAAATGATGTCGGTGTTTCCCACAGGATTTTGTTAGACTGGTGTTCCGCAATGGGGAATTGGGGGCATAACCCCATATGTTTTTGTACATCAAAGTTAAAAATTAACAAAATTAAAAATGAACAAAATGGATAATGTAATGTTTCATGGTTCCTTAGTAACAATGACATCGCTAAGTGTGCTCAGTGTTGTGTGATAGATTTTACGTTGTTACATTGTTTAGACCAAATATATGATGCGTTCTGATGTTAACTGCTAAATTATAAGAGTAACATCATATTAATACTGTTATGTTAATTACAACAGTAATTGGCTACATAAATATCAACATATTTATCCTTTAAATATTAAAGCTAAAATAAACACTCAAGAAAAAATGAAGATAAACCAACTAGTTGACCATCCCTTTATCAGACATGCTAATATGCATAAAACCACTTTGTTTTAATGAAAGTGCATTCGAGCCGATAGAGTTTATAAGAGTTCAGGTTGTTTTGAATATTGTCTTTGTCTTCTTTGTGGTTCATATGAATGAGCACACAGATTCTCCTTTGAGGTTTCTATCGCGACAAGCATCATCGCATTCAATTACGCCCATACTAAATGTGCTTCCTTTTAAGTATTGATTCAGAGTTTGTGAATTAGCGTCTCTTTTTAAATGTAGTCGTCAGAGTGCTTCTTGGGGCGATGCCACATTTATACCCCCGACTTTGGCACTCGCTGTCAAATTAGCACGAGATTAATGTTTCGCTCTGCTTTCACTCTCTCAACAGGAGTCATACACATACAAGGATCCCATCACAGAGTTTGTGGAGTGCCTCTATGTTAACTTTGATTTCGACAGCGCCCAGAAAAAACTGAGGGAGTGCGAGTCGGTAAGATCACCACCCGCTGTGTGTTACCAGGCCTGTCATCCCTGTGATTCCAACTAACACTGTTTCCCTCAGTTTGAGTCGTTTGGAGGCATACATTGAGAAGAACACTCATCTTAGAGCTTGAAGCCATATGTCTATTCATCCACTGCAAATCCCTGTCTACTGTAATTTAATGCTGTTTCCCACTGGGCTTTTCAAAGCGTTTCTGCTGTCAGTTCTCAGACCTACTGTTATGAGGCAGCTCTCCTCTTAGACGTGGCCAGAGGGAGCGTTGAGCATTCACACCTGTGAAAACATAATCTCTGCCTTTTCAACACCGTTTCAGTTTACGCCTGTGGGATTTGTCTATAAAGTTAAAAATGAACAAAATAAAAAAAATTATTAAAATGAACAAAATGGATAATGTAATGTACAAATGTCACTTTGTACAATGACATCGCTAGGTAGATATTTATATTTAAATTATTATAAGTTATTTATTATTATAAATATATTATATACTGTATTTTTTTTTAAACATTTTTTTATTGAAAAACATGGATTATAACAAGAACATTCACAAAAAAACAAAATATTTTACATATTTTAACTGTCTTCCCACCCTCTGGGTCCAAAAAATCAGTTACACATATCAGTTGCCCATATCTTTAAGTACATAAGCGCTTCATATAAAAACATATCAATCAGTGGATGTTTGTTATTTTCAAGAAAATGTATAAAATGATCCCATATTTCATAAGCTTATAAGCTTATTCTTTCCAATGCAATACAATGTGTCAGCTTGTTTAAACAATAATCAATGTATGGACCTTCTATGTTCTTCCAGTAAAATGCTACTAAGTGTCTTGCAAGAACTAGACAAATGTCAGTCATTTTAGTGTGATAACCTGATAATGATAGAAAGGAATTAAACCCAAAGCACATATTTCAGGGGTCATTGGAATTGGATTTGAAATAATTGAAGAAATTAGTACTGTCACTTTTTGCCAGAATGTCTTGATCACCTCATATTCCCAGATACAATGGAAAAATGTTCCCTTGTGTGTTTGGCATTTAAAACAGATATCTGGGATTTCCGGGTTAAACCTATTTAACTTTTCAGGGGTGACATATGTACGCATTACCCAGTTATATCAGTTTCAATCTAGTGTTAATTGACAGATTCTGGCTCCATTTTGAATCTGGAAGGTCATATTTCAAATCTATAGACCTTATGTAGCCCCGCCCCTTTTCAATGCTGCGCTCGTTGTCTTTTGACTTCCGGTCTGTATTTTCACAGCGATCTTGCATAGGTATGAATGAACTGCTTGAAAAAAAAAATTCCCGGTCGACATTTGTTAAGACATCTGCTTTACAATGCTTATGATAAACATTACAATGCTCATGATAACTTTTGTTAACTCTACAATAAGTAAATCCACTTCCACCAGCTAATTACTCATCGACAGCAATGCCATAGAAATATACAGAGCGACCGCGAAAACAGAAGTTCTCAATATTCTAAAGATGACGGCGCCCACGTTTCTCTGGTGCATAAGGTCTATACCCCGAGCAATTCTCTTGGACTCTTGATGATTCCTTAGAATTATTTACAAATTTGCAATAAAACAGTGAAATTTGGTTCCTCATAAAACGTGGCCTTTTCTAGTTCTGTTGCTAGATAATGGATGATTTTGCTTGCCATTGATATAACTTCGAATTTGCAAGTATTTAAAAAAGTGTTTCATTGGGATTCCAAATATATAGAATGATTTTAGTATTGTTTGCTCAATTCGGAAATAATATATATATATATATATATATAATAAAATATATCATATTTTAAACCATTATTTTTGCAGTTCTGTTTGTGCTACTGCATTTATGTGCAGGAAATCACACACTTAACTGTAAAGTTTTATTGGAGAAGTTTATTTTTAATGTAAAATTAAGTGACATTTTTTACTTTTATTTTTAAAAGTACATAGTTCAATCTCCTTGCCTTTCAGTGGACCATCAACAATTTGAATGGGCAATTTGTTTTCAAGGTGCTGGTGAACGACTTCTTCTTGGTAGCCTGCTTAGAGGATTTCATTGAAAACGCACGTCTGTTCATCTTCGAGACGTTCTGCCGGATCCATCAGTGCATCAGCATCAGGTAACACCCCCTCCGGATGAATCCTGATAGACTAGTGTGCGCTAATCCTCTTAGCGCTGTAAAAAGAGCGTAGCGTGCTGCGAGGATTCACTGCACTGCTGCCAGGATCAATGGACCCCAGCCAAATCTGACAAAAGCTGAGAGACATCACAATGGTGTACATTCTGAATACTGAGCTAAGGAGAGCTAGATGGAGAGAACAACTGTTACATGTTATTTTAGTATCATTGAGATACTATTAGCGTTATTTATAGTTTTTTTTTTTCGGTTGTGTGCCTTAAACATTAAGTGAATTGAAATAAAGTAACAAAAGTCTGTTTGTTTTAGTTTCCGTTTACTCCGTTTAATACATGTGTTACATTGATGGTTGTTAAAGGGACCTATTATTAACTTTTTTTCAAATTCTTTATTTTGTTTTGGGGTCTACTAGAACCTGAATGTACAAAAACCGCATTATTTTTTGTTATATTCACTTTTTTTTTATATTATTGCAGCACCTCTTTTTCCAGTCTGTCAGTAACGCTCTGGACTGCGTTTCTTAAAAGTATCGTGAGTTAAGTTGATCTACTTGGGCTTGCGATGCTTTGGGGAAATGCCCTGTGATTGGTCAACCACACATCGAGCATGTTTCGGAAAAGTCACGCCCTTACCACAACCATGAGTTTTAACACACTACTACTGCAAAAGAACCAGGCCTTTTTTACTTTTTTATGCCTTGGGCAGGATATTGTAAAACGAGGAATATTGTGACGTTTTCGTTTCCAGACAAAAAAAATCAAGACTACAATCGAGCCGTTTCAAGGATTTCAGAAACAGTGTAAGGTGGACTTTGTTCTTTGTCACTTTGTAGACCTATTTCATGCTCAAAATGCAAAAAGAGCATACGTTCCCCCTTTAAAGGGATACTCCACCTGGAAATAGGCTCATTTTACCACTCCCCCAGAGTTAAACAGTTGAGTTTTACCGTTTTCGAATCCATTCAGACGATTTTCGGATATTTAGAAGAATATCAGTAAACAGACAGTTTCTGGTCTCATTGACTTCCTTACACTATGAAAATCGGCTGAATGAATTCGAAAACAGTAAAACTCAACTGTTTAACTGTTTAACAAGTGGTAAAATGAGCCTATTTCCAAAAAAAAGTGGAGTATCCCTTTAAAAGTTTCTTTGAACACCACTATTTAGGAACCTTGTTGTGTTCACATTTAATCATAGACATGGTGGTCCTTCTTAATTCATGTCATTTGCTTGTGTTTATTACACTGATTGATTTTCACTGAGACTGTTTGAACTCTTGTTTGAAGAGGAGAGCTACAGCTTGTTGTTGACCTTAGGCAATCTCAGCATTTCTCATTTTCTCCCTCTCATCCATCGCTCTTCCTGTCTCTGGGCAGCATGTTGGCAGATAAGCTGAATATGACCCCCGAGGAGGCTGAGAGATGGATCGTAAACTTGATCCGCAATGCCAGACTGGATGCCAAAATCGACTCCAAACTGGTGAGCAATCTTTGGGGTGCAGAACACATGTCCAAACACAAAGCCCATTATTTTGAGACGCACTAGACTCCCCCTGACTGTGAAAAAGGGCTGTTTGTTGGTACACTGTGTAAATATGGTACACATTTTTGTTTTGAGTCTTACGTTTATTTTATTTTTTTAACTCAATATGAACCTTAAAGGGATAATTCAGCCTTTGCACCCTCATTTTTCAAACCTATACATTTGTCTGCAGTTTTTACAATTGGGCTTTCATTTTATAGCATTATTTTACATGAACTAAAAATGAACAATACTTATGCAGCATTTTTTAACCTTAGTTGATAGAAATCTCAATATTTACTTTTACAATTTTTAAATCAAAAGTTGTGTCGGTTAATATTAGATATTAGATTGTAAAATAACATGAATGAATGGACAACTTTTTAATTAATTACCAATATTAATGTTGTTATAAATGCCTTAGTAACATATTGCTCATTGTTGGTGAATTAATTTATAGGTAATGGATTAACAAATGGGGCCTTATTGTAAGTTACCCTTTTCTTTTATTTCTGTGGCACACAAAAGGAAATGTTTAGCAGAATGTCCAAACTGCTTAAATAAACCCAAAAGTAAAAATGTAGAAAAAAAAAGGTAAAGATTAATATTAGCAAAAAACACTTTTTTTAATATAGCTTTAAATATTACTCTAGGTTACTGTTAATTTTTAATAAATCTATTATTCATTGGTAATTCATTTTGTTCATAATACAATAACTAATGTTAATTTATTGAAGTGTCAAAATTGTAAATGTAAAAATTATCATTACGATTAATGTAAAAATATTAATAGTTTCATGTAAAGTATTGCATCAAGTAATGTTAACAAATAGAATGCTATTGTGCTATAAGTGTTTCCAAAGAACATACAACTTTATATTATAAATGTTGAAGTCATCTTCATGTTAGCTGTACCTCTCATAAATCTATTCCTTTGTGCTTGTGCATTTCTAACTTGCTTTCACGACGAGTCATGCCTGGTTTGACATCTTTGACCGTTGTGTGCAGTCAGCGAAGTGCGTAAGAGATTTTAAATGACGGAAACATGAGGGTGGCTTTTTATTTATTTATTTTTTTTATTGGTTGACCTTTTTAACTATGGGGTTTAAAGGGAAAATCAACCAGTTTACTTGCCTTTCTTGTGTGTTTGTCAATGAATAGTGCTTTTATTGTAAGCCGATATAGGAACTAGGGGTGTGCGGTATTGACAATATCGTAATATTTTCTGGCATTTTGTTTAAATGGATTTTTACTTAAGTAAATGTAGCTCATGCATCATTTATTATGTCAAATTATTTAATTTAATCAATAAGTTAAATTACAAAAAGTAATTCAGGGGATCTGTTACCACATCTTAAATAAATGCATGATTATAATTTATTGTTTTAATTAAACCTTTTAAGTTGCAAAAATTATTTTGTAGAGTTACGTTGACATAATAATGTTGATGTTTACATTAACTTATATCAAATGTAATTTAAACTCAAATTTCTGTGTTATTTGGCTTTTTAAAAACATTTGGTTGTAGTAACTTAATGAAATTGTCTTTAATTTTGGAAATTAGGCAGTGGATTTCTAGTTCCCAGGTTTGCATAGGACTTAATTAAATATTAATTCATTTGTATTTAGGGAACGGGAAGACTTGTTAGTGTGTTTAATGCTGTTATAACGTCTCGGTTACATATGGTAACCCGTGATCCCTGGGAAATGTGATATGTGCAGAGAGACCAATCTACTTCAAGAGAAACTAAATGAGCCAATGGACGTTGGCATGCGATAATTGTGCCAGCTGCTTCTGCAGCAATGGAACAACAACATGGCGACGGGACGAACGTCTCCGTTCCCTCTTTCAGGGAATGTGGGTTACCATACGTTACCGAGACGTTACCGTTGCTTTATATGATGCGCTCTTATTCATAAAAATGCTTTTAAAATATTCAAGCCAAGACAAATTTAGCGCTAGAATAGAGTTCTCTTTCAGCTTGAAGTAGACCGAACACTAACATTTTGTCGAGTATCCTGATAAGAGGAGACTGAGCAGTCTTAAATGAGTTACAAAAAGTTTTAAAAGAGTTTAAGAGTTGTGAGAGATTGAGGCGCATGTGAGATCCTCTTTTCTGTCAGCAGCGGCTGGTTTTAAAGGGACAGTGTAGCCACTAAAGCTTTCTGTCAATAAAGTTAATTAAAGATCAAAGGGAACAGAGAAAAATACTCACTGCTGTTGACAATTTTTTTTTTAATTTAATAAGGATTAATCTATATATAATTTAAATGTATGCAGTCCAAACTATTTGACAACTTTATTAAATTTCTGTATATTTCCTATCTGTAAGACAGATATTTAAAATATACTCTCTTTACGTTGTTTCTACATTAATTTGGAGATTGACTGTGAAATTATTACATTATAAAATATATTAAAAACGTCAGGTTTTTTAATGGCGATTCATCAGGATTAATCACAGAAAAACTGAAAAAAAAGTGTGATTAATCTAATTAATTTTTGCAATCAATAAAAAATGAATAAAAACAGAAACTCTCTCGTCAGGTCTCCCGTATTTTGGTACCCAAATGTTGACTGGTATGGTCGCCTGTCTCAGAGGTGATTTTTCATTGACCTCTGCGGCTGAGACGAATGGCGTCATTTCCCTGCGAGGCTTGACTTCATAGTAGAGCTGGCTGTGGTAGATTCCTCCTTTTTTTGAGGATTGATACCCTTGGCGATGAGCAGACGGAGGGGCAGCCAACGAGTGCTCTTGAAGCACAAAGGGACAAGCTCTTGATTGCCTCCGTCTGCTTCTGAACTACGGAGAACTGCTGGGGACAGTCCGAAAGGCCCCCTTGTGAGATAAGGGAATCGAGAACTTGGCGATATCTTGCACCTCTGCAAGGTTTAGCCAGGGGGGCGTTTCTGGACCACCAGGGTGGACATCGTCTGGCCGAGGGCTAACGCTTTGACTTAATCTCAGTCTCAACCCCGGCTTAGAACTACCCTCCTGCATCATGAGTGTTTTGGCCTTCCATAGTTTCAGGGTGGCCATCACATGCAGGGTAGAGACGACCTGTGCGTAGCACTGCCACCCTACCACTTTGGGTAGTGAGAGAGAAAACAACTTTTTCTGCAGATTTAGGCATGTTTGGCTTGCCATATTGGTGTCAATATACTTCCATACTGCCAATGTTCTTCACGCACATCCAGGAGAACAGCACGGAGGCGGGCAAGGCAATTTACGCGTTGTGCTCCCAGAGCGGCCTTGGAAAGCATTGCTGTCAATTCCGAATCTGACTCATGCTTAGCATCATCATTTCCAAAGTATAACAGCCCTCTCTCTCCAATGCAGCGGTCGACATCTGTCCTCAGCTTGAGCCCCGAATGAAACGCTAGGTCCCCCATGAGAAGGACCAGCAATTAGTGTTAATTTTACCAGCCATTTTTAAATTTAGTTTCAGTTTTAGTCCAGTTTCAGCATTGCTTGTTAGTTTTTATCACATTTAGTCGACATCATCCCATTTTTATTTAGTCTAGATTTAGTCGACTATAAGTCGAGCATTTTAGTCTTTATTTTAGTCAAAGAAAACAATTTTATTCGTTTAGTTTTAGTCAAAAAAAACTGTCAACATTTTAGTCTAGTTTTAGTCAGGACATCATTTTAACCTTTTACTTTTTTGTCAGCAGATAATATTTAACATTTCCTAAAATTATTTCACATTTCAACATTTTCTCTCATCTTTTTGATAAAAAAACACAATTTTAAGAAACACATGCAGACATGGAAGATGTTCTGACAATATTTGCATATTTATTTTGAACATTGTTAAGGTTCAAAGACACAAACACAAATGCTTGCATTAAAACAAATAAAATACACCTTACAAAGGAAACAAATAAATAAAATAAAGTGTATTATGAACTTAACACAAGTGCTGGCTGTTTAAAGCTAGTTCACATAGAATAATAAAATAAATATTTGAGGTCAATGTTGTGAAAAAAAAAAAAAAAAAACTCCAACTGATACAACAAAAGTGCTTTTCTGCCAGCTAGTTCACATGGTATATAAAGGTACAGTATTTAAGGTGAAACAAGGCATCGCTTGCTAGAACGTAGGAAATCTTTTTAACTAATCTTTTTAAAGTGTCTGTCTGCTTTAATCAAATTTAACTGAAACTATAGTTGCCCGGCCAGTATAACATATCTAAGTTAGCATAAATTTAACTTTACATACAATTCTATCAACAAGTGGCTACGGTCGCTACGTGCTAAGAAGCTAACGTAACATAGCCAGCCTGGATACTAAATGCTATGAAAGTTAGCCATGATTAGTTAGTTTATCATTGTAACAAAATGTGTCCATATATTACGTCTCTTCTTTCTCCCGAGCCCCGTGCAAAGCATGTTTTACTTTTCACCTGTCGCCGCCGCCTCACCGTGAATCCAGCTCCTGTCTGCTCCATGTGTTGTGTAGGCTACTCTGACTGTGCCCGCCCGCTCCAGGTTTGAAAGTGGGTGTGTGGCGGAAGAGCTGACGAGGAGGAGGCGGAAGAGGAGATAGGATTTGACAAAACCATATCATATAATAATATGTAATTTTCGTCTCGTCTTTGTTCGTGAACTAAAATGTCCATAGATTTTAGCCCAGTCTTTATTTACCGAACTGCATTTTCGTCTCGTCTTTATTAGTCTACGAAAATTATTTCTGATTTACTCCCAGTTATTGTTATTAGTGGGGATTTTAGTCTCGTCTCGTCTAGTTTTCGTTCGGTGAAAAATGTGCGTTGACGAAAATATTTTCGTTTAGTTTTCGTTAACGAAATTAACACTACCAGCAATCCCATTCGTAAGCTGTCAGGCATGCGAGACCGTGAATGTGGCCGTCAAACTCAAGGCACACGGTGCGCTGAACACTCATGTCCTTATAAGAAAGGCAAGACGGACAACATGCAGACGTGGTCATGTTCTCCTGAGGGAACATGAACCACCCACTAATGCAGTTTCAGCATGCTTAAGTGCAGGCATGTGAAACCGTGATTGTGGGCGCACGAGTAGACACACGAGTGAAATATCACACTCGTGTAAGCTCTTTTAGGAAAATTTGCTGTCTCTAGTGTTGTAGCGCACAGTGGGATGTCCACAGCCAACAGTGGGAAACAGTGCAATCCACTTAGGCACTCAACCGAACCACTACGCTCAGAGCTGTGAAAACAGCTGTTTGTTTTAGTTTTTTTGTTTTTTTTAGGTGATCCTGCTGTAGCGTGCCTTGACACCAACACAAAGTAGAAGGCTTCTTCCAAAAAGAACTCTCAAAATTGTCTTTTCTGCTTTAGTAAAGGCGGGCATACACTGTGCGATTTCAGCAAGGTACCTACTCACACTCGACGAGTAAATCGCATGCAATGCAAAGCCAAAGTTCAGGATTTATGTGCTCACACTGTACGGTCCGATCGTCGAGCTGCGACTTCACTGCTCACTCTATACGTGTAATATCTGCGATAACCCCTGGGTTGCGCCTATTTACGTGTATGTATCCAGGGATTTTGTCAAAACAAGCATCTGCAATCCATATCAAGATGATTTGCATTTTCAGTTTATGCATTTAATTATTATTAGTATTATTGTATTATAATTATTAGGGGAGGCCTATAGGCTAATTCTATTATTACATTGATCCGCTATTGTAATTAATTTGCCGCGCAATATTTTCACAGCACATAACCAAGGTGCTGTGAGGATAATAAAATATTACATAATCTTGCTCCTAATTAAAAATTGTCTAAAACATTTAGGTCGATTACAATGAATTATAGGCATATAAAATAGCTATTAACAGTCTATAATATGTCCAAACATTGCCATAATTATCATCAATGAAAATTAAAAACAGGTATATTTCAAAAACATTGTTTAACAAATTATTAAAAGAGGTGTTACATAGCAGGTGGCTTGGCAGACGTGGGTAATATTATCCATTTTGCAACACGAACTGGAGGTAAGCAACAGTAATTTGTAGCTAGTTTGAACTACTTAATTTTATTTTTGCTGCAGATGAAATGGTTAAACTTCTGTTTTCGCGCAGGTGCAGTGAGGGAAAAAACACTGAGTTTAGGGCAGTCGGTTCGTAGCTTTGCTTCAACTGTGCGATATAGTCACGAGGAGTGACCAACATTTCTGACATGCCAGAAATTCATCCGACCATCCGATTGTCGATCGTGAGAGGCTAATCGCCTCTCGTTTCTCCCTGTACACTGCACGACGCACGACAAAGCTGAAAATCGGTCCGACACGAAAAAGAGTCGCACGAGTCAGAATTCGGCTCAAAATCGGACGAAAATCGCACAGTGTATGCCCGCCTTAAGACTTCTGGAACAGAACATGAATCTGCTCAGCTCTGAAGCGAAATGCAAAGATGCGTTGCACCTGCTACTCATTATATACCCGCCCTGCATGATAGAAGCAGCTGGCGCAATTATCACATGCTAATGTGCATTGCCTCGTTTGGTTTCTCTCTGCGAAGTTCCCATTTCTGCTGGATCTCTCCAATGAATGTTGGAGTGACGGACATGAAAGAGAACTTAAAAGAGTTTCTGTCATGTTGAAGTTTTAGTGGTTACCATTGTGCTGAAGAGTTGTTACATGAAGGTGAACACTACATTGACTCTATGTAGCGACTGCGCTAATGCCAGTGATAAGTAATGTCAGAGAATGTCTAATTGAAGAGAATTGGCACTGGCTGGTTACTTCCGGGTTCTGGACTGGCTGCAGTAACTCGTCTCTGTCCATGCGAGGGCGCTCGCAGTCGAGTGCAGAATGAATGGGAGTCAATGGGGTTTCACCCCCATAAATCCACTTTTCTCGGGATGTAATTTGAAAGATGCATTCAAAAGGGAGGGCTAAGATAATACACTCAGCTGAAAATGGCATTTTTAAGTTCACTTATCTGTTCTAAAAATCAGTTCAAAAATGTGATGACGTCACACAATATCAGAATGCTAGCGTGTTCCAGCCAACAGCAGCCTAACCTGTAAGAAATCAAAAGGACATTAGTACTCGTTCATTCGACTTTTGGCCTATAATCTATATTGAACTTGCGGAATCAACAATAAATCTATGTTAATTTAACGACAAGCAGGTGAAAGAGACCCTTTTAGCCGTTTAGCCCCATAGACTCCTATTCATTCTGCTCTCGCCCGCGATCACCTCCAGTGGAATTCTAATGGAACTGCAACCAGGATGATACACAACGGGGCTAGGCTCTCCGTTAGACGGGCTCTGGTAATGTCTTATTCATTAAATATATATGTGAAATAAAAAAAAGTTATGTTAGAATGTGCTAAGATAGCTGTTGATTTGAACTGATTTGGCTGAGATTAATTGGTTCCTGTGCTGGTTTAATCAGCTTAAAGGAGAACTCCGGCGCAAAATGAACCTTTGGTCTAATAAAACATCGGTACCTAGTCAATCATTCTCTGAGATTTGTTTTCATGATAATCGAATGTAAAGAGTTTTATCTCTAAAAACTGTTTAGTGTATAACGCTAGTAATGGGGGCATTAACTAAGTAAAGAGAAATCGCTAGTTTATACCAAATGAGGGTCCATACATGCAAAACGAGGTGTGTTGAGAACTTTGTAAGTGTACAGACCGTTTAATAAGAAGATACTTTATAAAGACAGTTCACTTCGTGTATACAAACAGGAGCCATCTTTGAAAACAGTCACGACAAGTCAAACCACGAATGTCGTGCTGAGTGAGCTGAACTGTTTGCACGGCGTTCGGGGATCGACTTATCAAGACTATTTTCTTTTTAGAAGAAAAGTTCCATATAGCACCTTTAAACTGTTATATAAAGTCAATATCGCATTTGCAATTCTGCTGATATTTTGGGGAAAAATGCCAATCTTTGTGTGAATTTGTGTTTATGTAATATGATGTAAATATAGCCTAAAAGACTAAAACTCATAGGTGTGTTTTTTTTTTTTTTTTTTCAGATTTCACATCATTAAAACAAGTACGATATTATCATTGACATAATAGGAACTGTAATTTAGTAAAAGAACAGTTCTTTTAAAACCAAAGTGACTTTTAATCCCCAGATCCCCTGAAGCCTTTACTTTTTTATTATATTACTTAGAAAAGTTGTTTGATAATTTATAAAAGCTTTGTTTTATTCTTATTCACTACACTGCTCCTCTCTAATGGGTGTTTTCTACTCAGGGTCACGTGGTGATGGGCAACAACGCAGTGTCGCCGTATCAACAAGTGATCGAGAAGACCAAGAGCCTGTCGTTCCGCAGTCAGATGCTGGCCATGAACATCGAGAAGAAGATCAGTCACAGCAGCAGGAACGAGGTACCAGACTCAAAGCAAACAAAACAGGTTGTAGTAATGAGTTTTTCCTTCGTTGGGATCATTACCGTCATGAATTGAGTGTGCTGGGAAACTTTTGCTTTTAAGCGTTGAAGCTTTTTTTCCTGAACTGAACATTGGCCAGCATTAGCTGGCATACAGTTCCCCTGAATATCTCACACACTCCCAAATGAAAGCCCAGACTCTGCGTAATATCTGAATAATCGGATTTTATGTCAGCAAAGCAATTCACGTCATGTCGTGTATTTTGCTTGCTGTTCTCTCTGGGGACATTGCTTGAGTCAGAGCATTTTAAATATTTATGTCAAACTTGTTTTGAGTAAACTTCTGCTGTATATGCTGGATCTTTTATGCATCTAATGATCCTCCATTATCTTTCTAGACACCGAACTGGGCGGGTCAAGAAACTGGCTTCTATTAGACCGGAAGCACAAGGCAAAGAGTGGATTTATTGTTATACTCCTCAACCTCATCTTAGTATTTAACTAACATCTTTTATCTAGCCGTGTTTTATAATAGGATTATTCTACAAAAGACTGTTGTGAACATTTCCAGCATGACAAAGCTATGGCGTTTTGGGATGCTGCTGTAAATGATGTATTCTCTATGAAGGAAGGATTTTACCAGGCAAGTTTTTTATGAATTATTCCAGTTCTGTTTAATCTCAAAGAACATTTTTTTTGTTTACACCACAATAAACAATGAAAGTGTGTTTTTGAACACATTTTCAAGGATCCTATAATATACTTCTGAAATCTTAAATGGTCAAAGGTAAAGTGTGTAATTTTGTCATTATTGGGCTTTCCAAACTATTGTTTGGTCAAACACGTCCTGCTCCAAGCTGGTGTTTGTCTTGTGAGACAGTTTTTTTGTGGACACTAAAATTGGGATGGGAGAAACTACACACTTCACTTTTAATTCTCTTAATTTTTCACTCCATTGCCATGGTTCCTACTTCCTACAGTACTGGAATATTAGAGAATTTGAAAATGTGTGACTTTCAGGCCTGGAAAAGTTATGCAAAAGAATAATCTTGGACATTTTTGTGAATAGTGTTAAAAAATTTGGGGCCGGTAAGATTTTGTAACTTTTTGAAAGTCTTATGCTCACCATGGCTGAATTTATTTGATCATATTGTAAAAAAAAAAAAATCAGTAAAATTGTGAAACATGCAATTTAAAATAACTATTTTCCATTTTAAAATTATTAAAATGTATATATTTGTAAGTGTTATTTATTCGTGTGATGCAAAGCTGAATTTTCAGCATAATTACTCCAGTCTTCAGTCACATGATCCTTCCGAAATCATTCTAATATGTTAATTTGCTGCTCAAGAATATCCTATTATTATCAATGTTAAAAACTGTTGTGCTGCTTAGTATTTAATATGCTTAATATTATTCGATGAATAGGAAGTTCGAAATAACAGTATTAGTTGAATGCTTTTGTAACATGACTTTACTGTCACTTTTGATCAATGTAATGCATATTTGCTTAATAAAATGAGTAATTGCATTCAAAACAAAAACTTGCGGACCCCAAATATTTGATCAATTGTGTAATTTTAAGTAACTGTTCTAAAGCTTTTTTTTATGTATGTGATCGTCACAGATGGTGATTTCTTTTAGGCTACACAAATTGTGGAACCCAGCGTCAGTTCTGTAATGAACTCCTTTATTAATTTTCAGCTTATGTTTTATCCACTAGGTGGCAACAGTGACTAACTTTTCCACCACTGTTTTTTTTTTTTAATGGGCCAAGAAAGTAACATACAAAACTCTCGTAGGGGAAAGAGAATATACAAATGTTGGCAATATACAAAAAGTATTAACCAAGCAGAAAATAAAAACAAAGAGGGTGAGCTACTTCAAAATACTCAAGTAAAGGCAAAATAAAATTTGTATTTGGAGCGCCACACACACACAAGGACTTTCTTAGATATGTCACTATACCACAAACCATTTATTACCAGTTGCCTTCTTGATTTTGCACTGTTTACAAGCTGAAACCTAGGAATGTTGGGCATCTGTGTTTGATTTTGAAGGTGACCAGGTAATTTTGGGCCAGAGGTTGAAAACACAGGGTGTGTGTTGTCTAAGAAGCTAACCGCGATGGAAATATCCTGTAGTGACTCACAGATGACCAGCTTCCTCTAAATAACTGATTTTCCTTTGGTTGTTTTTATATTTCATCCAAAGTCCAGACAAAATGCTTGTGGAAAGTGTGTGTTTTGTACTTACTGAATGCATGTTGTTCCTGGAAGCTGATCTGTTTGGTACATTCATCAAAATGGTCACTGTAAATGTATACCTTTCTGTAAAATCATCAAATATAGTTTTGAATTTGAAAGAGAACAATGTTTTGTCATAAATTGTGGACCTATTTTTTATTAACAGCTATATATTAACATTTAGTTATGATACAAAGCACTTATTTTACTTGCAAGTTTTTGTATTATACTTAAAATACCTGCTTGTAATTACATCCATAATTACATGTTGACCCCTTCCTTTAACCCTACCCATACTACCAAACCTGTCCCTGATCTTACCCGTATCCCACCTCAATAGCAGCAAAAAAAAATAAAAATTAAAAAAAATAAAAAATAAAAAATAGAAGAGAAGAGTGGAATACAACTACATTGTATCTTACTTTTTTTAAATGTAAGTACATACACTGTAAAAAAAATATTGTTGGTTTAACTTAAAAAAATTAAGTAAGCTGGTTGCCTTAAGTTTTTTAAGTTGATTGAACTGGAAAAAGTGAGTTAATAGAATGAAGGAGATTGATTTAATCATCAGAAACTCAAAATAATAAGTTATCCGAACTAAATAAATGATTTAAGTTGATTTGACAAACGAAAAAATGTTGTGAAACATTGATATTATTTTTTTTAGGGCTGTGCAAAAATTAATTGCGATTAATCGCATCCAAAATAAAAGTCTGTGTTTACACATACTGTATGTGTAACATATGTGTTAAACACATATAACTCATATGTGTAACATATTTGTCTGTGCTGTATATAATTATTTTGTATATATAAATACACACACATGCATGTATATATTTAAGAAAATGTGTTATTCATATATAAAATATTTATACTTATATAATATAGATTATGTATTTATATATATATATATATATACACTGTAAAAAAATATTTTCATGATTTGTAATCACAATTTTTTTTCTTTTGTCATATCAACTTAAAAAATGTATGTGGTTCATATAACATAATATTTTGAGTTTCTGATGATTAAATCAATTTCCTTCATTGTATTAACTCAATTTTTCAATTTCAAGGAACTTAAAATTTTAAGGCAACCAGGTTACTTCATTTTTTAATTTAAACCAACAATCTTTTTTACAGTGTATACAGAATTTAAGCGCAAATAATTCTTAAATATATACATGCATGCATAGGTATTTCTATATACAAAATAACCATATACAGCACACACAAGTATATTAAGTAAACAGAGACTTTTATTTTGGATGCGATTAATCGCAATTAATTTTTGCACAGCCCTAAGACACCTCAAAATGGCCTTATTACGAATATAAAGCAAGCCAAAAAGTGAAGTCACACTGTAAATGTGCAAATTAATCCACAGACCTTTTCTCAGAACTAACTTCCCTTTTCTCAGCCATTTTAGCAATGACTGAACTCAAGTCTTTTTTTAGTGGATGTATGTCATCATCTCCCCTCAATATCTTTTTTTATAAGTGTGACTCAAGGCCATTGTTTACATTAACTACCTCTATGGTTGTACACGCACTCCCATTGCGTGAACTATGTTGTCGCTTCAAACCGCCTCGGGTGCATTTCTCGTCTCATACCTACCATTAACCAACAGGTCTCAGATCCTGAGTTGAAATGAGGGTGTGTGTGTGAGTGAGAGATGTTATGCCCTGGGAGTGGCTGCTGGATATTCCAGGCAGGGTTGCGAGTGCCGTACACACTCGTATACGCACTCCTCCAGAGCTGACGTGGGCTGTGGCCTTAAACAGCTGTTGCCCATCTGCCACTGAGAAGCAGCCACAGGAGCTAGACGAGAGGGGATAAGGAAAAGGGGCTAAGAATGGACGCGCTGCAGGACTGGGCCCTGGAGTACCCGGCTCTGGCCCGGCTGCTCTGGGTGATCGTGCTGGTTTTGGCCACCCTCCTGGTCTGGAGCTTGTTCTTCTGTTGCTGGGGTAACCAAAGCTCCACCTCCCCTCTGGAAAGATATCTCTCAGGTAAATCAGCTGCTTTTATTCTCACTCAGCTGATCTGGAATCAGTTCTTACTGATGTTCTTCGGCTGTTTCCAGACTGAGGAAGAACGTTTCTACAGTGGAAACATTGCCGGTTTTTCATGACTGGCTGCATTCAGTGGGCACAGGATGGTAAAGTGGTTGAGTTATGTGTTCGCTTGACGTCATCTGAAGGGGCGTTCTGAATCCTCAAATCAGGGTTTACTATTTTTCAAGCTTTATCCCTAAATTATATGTTCCCTGGGATGTTACGCAATGCCGGCCTTTTCAGATTTCGGCTATTTCCAAACCAAGATCTGAATTGCTTTAAAAAGGCCAACTTTGGAAAGACCACAAAGAAATTGTTTACTAAATCAGATGTATAATTGTAGCCTTCGGTGAAGACTGTCAGCAATGTATTCTTTGAATAAATGAAACTCATTCTTGTAGATTTTTGCAAATGTAGAAGCCAAGAAACATTAAGGGTCTGATGTATTTGAGCCATTTGAGCTTGAAAGAGTGAAGATTCAGTTCACATAACTTGACTATTTCTTTCAAAGGATTGGATTTACGGTTCAAGCAGGCTCTAACTTGCTGTTTGATTGATTAGTGTGACCGGATTTTTGACAGCTGGACACAAACTTAACCTACTGTTCATACAAATACACAAACCTCCTCGTGTGTGTCCTGAAACGTTTCAATCAATATCATGCCACATGGATCAGAAGCTTTTGTCATTATTCATTTGTAATCATTATTTCAGTTGGCCAGAGCTCATAGAGTTTAATCCTCTCCATAGGGGCTTCCTTTATTTAATTTAATACTGCATTTCTGTTTCAGCAATGGAGAAACAGTCAAAGACAAAACACCAGAGCCAGGTATGTTATCAGTCTATTACTAATGATTTTAATGATAATATGATGTTTGTTTTAAAGGGAAAGTTCATTTATTTATTATTTAATATATGACATTTATCATTACACCACCCTCATGTCGTTCCAAACCTGTAAGTATTTCGTTCATCTTTGGAATGCAAATTAAGATCTTTTTGATGAAATCTGAAAGCTTTCTGTCAGACAGCTACACAACTACCACTTTGATGCTTTAAAAAGTTTATAAAAGGTATCGTAAAACTAATCCATTGGAATTTAGCGGTTTAGTCCAAACTTTCTGAAAATACTGGCTTTATTTAATATACAGATTTAATTTAGGCTTTTATTCACATATACTTATAGATCAGCGAACAAAACCAGAAGCTCAACTGAACTGTCTTGGCGCATGAGAACAAACCTCATTGGTTCTTTGGTGAAGCTCAAACATGCTGCGTAACACTAGAACGAACCTCATTGGATCTTGGAGAAGCTCAAACATGCTGCGTAACACTAGAACGAACCTCATTGGTTCTTCCAGAAGCTCAAACATGCTGCGTAACACTAGAACGAACCTCATTGGTTCTTGGAGAAGCTCAAACATGCTGCGTAACACTAGAACGAACCTCATTGGTTCTTACAGAAGCTCAAACATGCTGCGTAACACTAGAATGAACCTCATTGGTTCTTGGTGAAGCTCAAACATGCTGCGTAACACTAGAATGAACCTCATTGGTTCTTGGTGAAGCTCAAACATGCTGTGTAACACTAGAACGAACCTCATTGGTTCTTGGAGAAGCTCAAACATGCTGCGTAACACTTGAACGAACCTCATTGGTTCTTGGAGAAGCTCAAACATGCTGCGTAACACTTGAATGAACCTCATTGGTTCTTCTATGTCTTGCTTCTGTTTACCACAACTGATGTGTCAATTGATGAACGTCTAAATGTGAATAAAAGCCTTAAGTCAATCTTTTCATCATATAAAGCGATCGATCATGTCTTTTCAGAAGATTTGGATTAGTTTTACAATATCTGTGAACCTTTTGAAACATAAAAGTGACAGGAAGCTCACAGATTTCACTTAAAGATCTTCATTTGTGTTCCAAAGATGAACAAAAGTCTTATGGGTTTGGAGCGACATGAGGGTGAGTAATTAATGACACAACTGTTAACTATTCCTTTAAGTGCATTGGTTTTCAAGAGACTTTTTAGGGAGAAAATTGGTTTACTTTAGAGTCAAAGCCTACTTGCACTGGATGTGCCGTTTTCAGCCCCATCACAGGCTATAAGCCATGTACATCATCCCAAACATCTCTAGTGATCATACTTTTTATCCAGCAGCCTCTAGAGGCCAGTATTGTAAAACAAGCCATTTGATGACATTTTAAATGCCATTTTCTGCAACTTTTCAGAGATCCAAAAATTATGATGTGGCAAAATACCGCATACTAGAATTGTTTGTGGTTAAATATGCTGGTAAATGATTTGATATGCAAGCAAAATATCTTAGTTTACAGTTAACTTGATATATGGATGCACACAGTAAAAACAGCTAAGCATTCTTCCTTATGGTTTACAAAAAAATTGTACCTATTAATTGATGTTTATGGCAGTGAATGTACCACATGTTCCTGGATTAACATCTTTGTTGATCCTGGTTGGTTCTAATCAACCAAGATTTGAGGGACAAGTTTACGGTGTGTCAAGTTTAGGCTAAGAACCAGGGTGAAGTAACATCAGTGCTATTCACCTTTCATTACCCCATCCCTAGGGAAGGTTTAGGGGTAGGGGTTGGGTAAAAGGAATGTTGATCCAAGACCATGTCTTACTTGGCAAAATCATGGTAACTGTTTATGGCATAGATTATTGAGTCTTTGGGTCAGTGTTCAGTGCAGGTTTGTTGCGTTCATGCTGGTTTGATAGACTGCCGGTCAGAGATTGTCTGTGATAGCTCTGTCTGCATGAATGGAGACACTTTGTCTCTGCCCACTGTTATAGAACAACAAAAGGCTGTTTCCTCCCCTGTTCTCCAAGTGGACAAGAGAGAAAAAGAGATCCAAATGTCATTATCTCTCAGCCTGAGAGAAAAGGCAAGTTTATGAATTAGATTTATTTGCGCAAATTACAGAGCAGATGGTCAAAATGATTAAGGCCATAATAATTTATTCTGTATACCGCAATATCCTGGATGGATTGAAGTTTTTTTTTAATTATTATTGCAGAAATGTTTTAACTTTCAAATTATTTTTCAATATTTCCAATACAATGATTCGGAAATGGCAGTGGCACCAAAAAGGAATTAAACACTTGAAATATTGTATGAATTAAATTTGAATAAACAAACGCACTAAGTGGCTTATATATTACGTTAATGTTATTGGTTAAAAATAAAGCAAAACGGCTCAGAAAAGTAGAGTTATAAGAAAACTTGCATCATTTGTATGCAAAAGATTTTGATCCGTTTTATCTAATATGACGACGTTCATATGTTTTAAATTATGAATTAAGTTTCTAAATACTTTTTGTTTGTTTCACCTCATGTGCCTCATAATATAACCACCACCTTGGTTCTTGCATTTGCAATTGTCTATGACGGCAAGACTGTCATTATCCTCCTTTAGTCTTTAACTGTGTTAATTTAATGCTCTATTTAGTTGTGTCTAGATATTTACATTTAATCATTTATTTAGCAGGTGCCTTTACCAAAGTGGTGTACAAATGACAAGAACAATAGAATCAATCAAACCAACAATAGGGCAACAATATGTAAGTGCTGTAAATAGTCTTTGTAGCTTTTCTTAGTCATGCGAGGTATGTTAAATCACTACAAGATGTAAGTGCTACGTTATAAACACTAAAATTTCATTTGGTAATGGACAATGGGTAATTAAAAAGCCTTGATTCAGGGCTTGAAACTGTGAATGATGTTCTTGTAGCTGCTTTCTGTGTAAAAAGGGATTTGACTGACAGAAATGTCCTTTTAATTGTGTACCTGACAGATTCAATCACACTCACAGCCTGTTGAATAAGAACTCCTTTGTGTGATCCAGGCAGTGGGCGTCAGAAATAGCCGAAACGGTCTCTAAACTCACTGATAACCCCTTTGTTGCCTTTTCCGAATTATCTTATATGACCGATTGGATCCATCTGAAGTCCCTTTTACCTGCATGAGTTTGAAAGGTGGTTCTTGTTGCAGGTTTTATTACAGTGTGCGAATGAATACGCTGATTTCACTGTTTTTTCAGAGGAAGAAGAAGCCGAAAGACAAGAGTGTCTCTGCGGCTTTGCTAAATGAGGGGATCGTCGGGGTGATCAAACTGGCAACCCCTTTGTCTCAAGAGAAACAGAAGAAGAAGGAGAAGGAAAGACATGTGAAAAAGATAGAGGAAGAGGAAGAAAAGAAGGAAAGAAAGGATGAGAAGGATGAGGAAGGGAAAGGAGAGAAGCCCTCAACAACCGTGAGGAAAAGAAACAAACGGCACCTGAAAGTCACCATCGCACCTGGAACCGTGATTCCAGCATCTACTGACCAGGTGAGATCAGGCTTAAGTCATATAGAAAGACAATAGGAAAATTCCTTTAGGCTTATATTCTAGTGACATTTTCAACATCATTTCAACATCATCAAAACACACGAGAATGAACCTCATTGTTTCTCATGTGTCAAGCAAACATGCTTGAGCTTCCGTTTACCACAAGTAATGGGTAGGTTGATGAATATATGTGAATAAAAGCCTAAATTCATTCTGTTCATCATATAAAGCAATCGTGTCTCCTCAGAAACTTTGGACCAAACCTCTCAATTCATATGGATTAGTTTTATGATCTCCTTATGAAAATTTTGAAACGTTAAAGCAGTGGTGGAGGAAGTACTGAATCTCAGTACTTAAGTAAAAGTACAAATAACCAGATAAATTTTTACTTTAGTAAAAATAGAAGTAACACACACAATGACAACCATACTTAAGTAAAAAGTACCTGATTTTAAATGTACTTTAAGTATTAAAAGTAAAAGTACTTGCATAACAATTGATTCTCTTAATGACTATTTTCTAATGATTAATAAACTATTTAATTCTAACTCATTCAACCTAATACTCCTATAATGACGTTCAATAATGATAGAAAAAATTGTTGTCACCATTTCTGAAACAAGCTTGCAATTAGGCAATATAAACCATGCTTATCCTTACTATATATTAATAACTATGTTTGGCAGTAAACGCGATTTATTTATGGTGTAATTCTGAACCTCTTGGCTTGCCATAATCCTAACCAAACGTGTGTTTCCAACACTATCTCACGACCAATTCGTACGAATTAGACGCATGATTAAAAAGTGTCTAATTCGTACGACCTCACTCGTACTTTCGTACGATTTGTCTAAACCCACGTGATGGTTAGGTTTAGGGGCGGGGTAAGGGGTAGGTCATTCGAACGAATTCATACGAATTGGCCAATTCGTAAAATATGTACGATTTAGCAAAATCGTATTAATTCGTACGAGTGAGGTCGTATGAATTGTTACGAATTAGCCACTTTTTAATCATTCGTCGAATTCGTACGACTTGGTCGTGAGATCGGGTTGGTGTTTCCTATGCACGTAAAAACAAATTTTCACATATAAATTACCCCAACTGCGTGCGAGACGCATTTAGTTGATGTATCTATGGCAACCAAACGTCACTGATGAGACAAACGTGCAACGAACGCACGGTCAGATTACGTTTTGGTAGGGGAAAAACTGATCAGAAAATGTAATGAAACTGTAACAGGAGTTGTAGAAAAGTAGTGGAGTAGAAAGTATAATAATTGCTGCAAAATGTAACGAAGTAAAAGTAAAAAGTATGCACTATTTATTCTACTTAAGTAAAGTAAAGATACGTGAAAAATGTACTTAAGTAAAGTAACAAAGTATTTGTACTTCGTTACATTCCACCACTGCGTTAAAGTGGTAGTTACGCAACTATGGATCGGGATAGAAATATCTCAGATTTCATCAAAAATATCTTCATTTGTGTTCCAAAGATCACATGCGATGAAAATCGAAAACCGTGCAAGTTTGTAAGAGTGTTACTCTTTCGCCGCAATTTGATGCTTACGGACGTATTTCCAACACATTCTCACCCCAAGGCGTCACCTTTGACCATGCTTCAATATTTGACGTTTTAGGCGCCCTTTAGCGTCACTTACATGGCGCGATCCTACGGCGTCATCTAACTGACGCTAAAGGAAAGCGTCTGTTAGAGGACGCGGTTAGGTTTAGGTGTGGGGGTAGGGTACACGCGATCCTAGGGCGTCATCTAACTGACGCTAAAGGGCGCCTAAAGCGTCAGATATTGAAGCATGTCCAAATGCTTCCCAAGACGTCAGTTAGGTGACGCCTTGGGAGTGAGAATGGGCTGGTATTTCATAAAAAATTTCTTACACAAACGCATCGCTTCGCTTCAGAAGGCCTTTATTAACCCCCGGGGCAACGTGGAACACTTTTATCATGGATGGATGCACTTTGATGGACTTTTAAAATATACAGCCGATCACTGCCATTATAAAGCTTGGAAGAGTCAGTACATTTTTTAACATAACTCTGGTTATATTCGTCTGAAAGAAAGAGTGTCAAATACACCTTTGAGAGTGAGTAAAGTGCATTCAAGACGAGTCATGTTAAAGCATTGAAGTTAGTCTTGTTAGTTTTGAAGAAAGCATCTGCAACTGAAATTCATGAAATGTTTAGTAGCTTATTCTGTATTTTGTCTCACCCAACAGCTTCAAACATTGTAAAATACTCATTTGTTCCTCTAATGAAGTGAACTTAATTTTAGTGTTCATTGTGCTCAATAGTCTAAAGCTGGCACTGTGTTCACTAGTAGCCCCTCCCTCAACTGGCCCATGCTAATGGCAACAGCTTTTTTTTTTTTCTTACAAGCCATTGAGTGGTATAAAAGCTTCTGTTATATAAGATGTTGTCAAGCCTGAGCTCTGTTATTTGCTTGCAAAATGCGATGAGACAGCTAGAAACTGTAAAACCAATGCTTTTAATGCTGGTGCATATGTATATGAAAGAATGATTCAGGATTTCATACAAATACATGTAGTTTGATCCACAAATAATTGGTCTTTTAATGTAATGTGGCATAAAGATTTAAGGACCTATAGATTCCAATGAGATATTTGATTATATTGATAATGAAACTAACACGTGTCATTAAAAATTAAAATAAACAAAACTAAAATTAACTAAAATAAACAAAAATTAACAAAGATCAATAAATATTGTAACATGTATTGCTCATTGTAAGTTACGGAAGGACTTAATTGATGACTCATCGCTGAATTATTATAAAAAAAATAATGCACACCTGAGGTGGTTGTCGCAGAGAGGACATTACACCTTGATGTTCATTGTTCTTCAATATAATTCAACTGTGCGGAGTGAATTATTCTGCTTATACTATGGTTATCATACCTTTATATGTTCAGATTATGTATTTCGAGACATTTGTCAAGTTTTTTTTTTTCCAGACTGGTTTGAGTGAAAGAGAGCGGGAGCAAGAGAGTGCTTTCCTTACATAATTTTGAATTTTAAAATTAATTTTGTCACAAAATTGTTCACTATTTATTTGCTTGGTCAGTGTCCTTGTGGGTTTGGGTTCTTTTGCTGTTGTAGTCTGCAAGGTATGGAAGCTTGTTTGTGCCACAGAGTAAAACATTATGATGTTTGCGACTTATTATCTCACAATTGCGAGTTTATGTCATGCAATTCTGACTTTTTTTCCCCCTCCAAATTGCGAAATATAAACTCGTAGTTGCGAATTATAAAGTCAGAATTGCATGATATAGTCAGTCATTTTGAAACGAAACGTACATACGTTTAGATCTAATTTTATATATAGTTACATTTATTTAATATCATTTTAAAAAGAAGCATAAACATAACGAGGGGTGTCTGTTTTATCTGATTTTGTGACTAACGTTTCTTTAGTATAACCATGGAGTATAAAATTCAATATAAATTCTCAGTTTTGCATTGGACTCTACGATCGGCGGATTAATCAATTAATCAATTTGGCCAATAATGGCAGACAGGAAACAAGGAGCTGGCTTAAGTTCAGGAAGTAGTGCAGCTGTGCATAAAGCCCATTCTGATTTCTTTTCTCAGAACTGAGATATAAACTCGCAATCGTGTGTTATAAAGTCAGAATTGCGAATTTATGTATTAAATGTTCATAGCACGCAATTGCAACTTTATATCACACAATTCTGACTTTAAAGGAGCATTTCACCCATTGCAACATTAATCTTTATTGAAAGTGGATCATATATAGTCGAAATGTAAAATAATTTTTTTAATTTGGTGCCCTCTTGACCGAGAATAAATAACCAAGGGGCGCCTATATATGAAAAGACTACATGTCCCACAATGCACAGCTCCGCAAGCCACACCCACTAATCCGGAACAGCGCAAACAGAGAATTCACTCTTACGTCTACATGCCAAACATTAGCTGTCACCGGAGTTTGAAATTGGCCACCATGTACACATCCTCTGGTGGCTACTTCCAGCAGGATAATGCACCATGTCACAAATCTCGAATCATTTCAAATTGGTAAATTGAACATGACATTGAGTTCACTGTACTAAAATGGCCCACAGTCACCCGATCTAAACCCAATAGAGCATCTTTGGGATGTGGTGGAACGGGAGCTTCGTGCCTGGATGTGCATCCCACAAATCTCCATCAACTGCAAGATGCTATCAATATGGGCCAACATTTCTAAAGAATGCTTTCAGCACCTTGTTGAATCAATGCCACGTAGAATTAAGGCAGTTCGAAGGCGAAAGGGGGTCAAATACATTACTATGGTGTTCCTAATAATCCTTTTGAAATGTTGGCCCATATTGATAGCATCTTGCAGTTGATGGAGATTTGTGGGATGCATATGTATGTATGTATGTATAAATATATATATATATATATATATATATATATATATACTGTATAATATAAGGCAACACTCAATTAGCCTACTTTTTTAATTGTATTTTCTATAGGAATCAAACCCATGACTGTGCCATTGCTAGTGTGCTGATTTACCTCTTAGTTATGCATCATGTTTCTTTTGTAACTCATTTTATCAATAAGTCAGTATTGAAGCATATCTAGTAACAAATTCCTATTACAATTTTTTTCTTCAAATGTTTCAGTCACTTTTGAGGGGGTAGTTAGGGGGCATTACTTTGGGTCACACAACTGTGTGTATAGTTTATCAAACAGAGGAGCATTTGTTCATGGGGAGGCAATAAACTCTTCCCCCTCATAAATAGATCAAATCCATCGTTGCATTGTGCAAAACACCCAGTGACATTCCACCATTGTGTGGAACTGAAGCACTACAGGGGGAACACGGAGTTAGATCAGATCATAGATCACCTTTCCCCTCTCGAGCAGTGATCATCCACAGCATTTTGCATCGTCATCTCCACAAAACAACACCAGAGCATCCAGCGGTAAAATATCACTTGACATTCATAACTAGGGCGCATTCGTGCTGGATTCATCCCCGGTAAGTTCCACTCTGCAGGTACATTTCTCCTTATCGCAGCATCTTGCAGTCAGGCGCTGCTTCACTGAATATGCGTTATTCTCCGGCGGGACGCTGTAAGTTTGGCATCGTTTAAACTGGAGCGTTACATGCGGGGTGGAGAGACACTGACATTGCCGTTTTGACAGATCAGAGGGGAGGGCGAACAGCTGAATGTAAAGAGACGCGGTACCGTTATAAAGCAGTTGTTTAAAGGATGCTCGGTGTGTTTGCCGCATCGTTGAATCTGCTGAGCAATGATGACGAGAATATTTCTGCGCGCGATGATATGCGCCTCTGCAACGCGCTGACATTTTTTTTTATAACAACGGTTACATTTACAGGGCACGTGAAACGTAAACGACAAGGTTTTCTGTCAGTATAAGATGGTGTTAAAGTCGTTACTTAGCCTAGTGCGTTTGTTGTAGTCCAAGGTCGAACATAACAGTGTTCGTGTTAATGTAAGGCTAAATATATAGTTCAGTCAGTGGTAAACACTACCAAACGTGTGGTGGACACGACACAAACTCATTATTTTGTAGAATAATAGTTGTCCAAACTATATAACAAATGGTTTGTGTGGGTGTTTAATTTATTTATAGGCCTACATTTAAAATCTGGGGGGTCAGTATAAGTTTTTATTAAATGTTTTTGTGAAAAAGGTCAAAAGAACAGCATTTGAATAATCTTTTGTAACGTGTTTGTTAACTGCAATGCAGTCATTACTGAATGAAAATTTCCTACTTAAAAAATAATCTCATAAACCTTTGTAGTAATGAAATTGTTTATGAAAAAACAAACAACTTTACAGTTTTGTAAATAAATTCATGCATAGGCAGAAAACAATAATTTTAATTATTTAAGCAAATGTTTTAAAGATCATGTAGAACATAAATTCAATAAAATGTATGTCCAAACTTTTGACTAGTAGTTTATATTAAAGTAACATGAATTACCATCTAATACAAGCACTCTAACATGAGACTGTTATTGTAAGGGTCTTATTAATCTCTGCTTTTGTATGAAGAAGAGTGTGCCGGAAATATTTAGCGGAAGAAAAAATTTAGGTCCAGTCTTTTCACATTCGGACAACAAAGGTCACAGAAGTTGTGCCAGCTGACTTTGTAACCTCTCTAAATCACCTCCCTGCATTTTACTCCTGTCTGAAGTCTATTCAGACACTAGTAACAATAATGACATTCATTTTCTTCCTCAGGGGCCACTGAAACATGCTCTTAACAACACCTTCATGTTGCCTTAGTAACTCGTGAGTAATCAATTACCCTCAAATCAGTCTCCGACAAGGTTTTCCGCCCTCTTCAGTCAACCGAGAAGAAACTTCCTGATTTCTTGTTTGATTAACACTGGATATATATCACAGACTACAAGCTACTTTCACAAGTTGAAATGCCGTTCCATAATGTAAGCAATATACAAAAGTATTTATTTATTGCACAGTTATGGTGTAGTCTCTTATACACCATAAGAGATATTATTTAAAAAACTTAAACATGCTGATGACATGCTTTGTAGTGTCTTCCAGTGACCCTAAACCAGCCAGCAGCTGTCCAAAAACGTACACCAAAATGTAGAACTGAAACTGAGGAGTGTCAGCTCTCTGTTGCATTGTGTACTATTGTTGAATCACCTCTAACACTCACGTTTACCATCTCACCGTTCCCAGGTCATGTCAGGGGGTCGCCGGCGGATACTAGAGCGGTCTGCTTCGGAGGAGAGTGCGAGTGACCTGTGCTCCTCACCTTTTCCCGGAGACACCTTACCATGGAACCTCCCTAAACACCAGCGCGTCAAACGCTCCAAATCTGCCTCCGGAGATGTCCTGGACCCCGCAGAGAGAGCAGTCATCCGTATTGCAGGTATGGTTTTGACATTTTTAGCCAAGAAACTTGAAACTATGTGGGTTTAATTAGTTTTAATTAGAGTCTTGATTTCGTCTTGATACTTTTTGGGGAGGTCTGCTAGGTTTTCATGCTTGAATGTTCAAAAACATCTTCCACATTTTACCGTATTGCAGCACCTCTTTTCCCAGTCTTTCAGTAATGCTCTGTAAAGTTCCTGTCTCTATGAAGCCCCTCCCTCTGAAAAGCGCAATGCACTCAGATTGGTCATCAGTACCAGTATGTTGTGATATGTCAACCTCTTTATGCATGTTTCGGAAATGTCACACTCCTTACCACCATAACCATGTGTTTCAACCATAGACTTTAAAAAAAGCCCCTTCGCTCTCTTCCATTGGTCAGAACTAAAGCCGCTAGTATCTTGAAACTTGAGTCTGCGCAGTAACGACAGAGAATGTCTAATTGAAGAGAATTGGCACTGGTTACTTCTGGTTTTTGGACTGGCTGCAGTAACACGTCTCTGTCCATGCGGGGGCGCTCGCGGTTGAGTGTTAAATGAATGGGAGTCAATGGGGTTTCACCCCCAGAAATCCACTTTTCTCAGGATGTAATTTTTTGTCAAGTAATTTTAAAGTTGCATTCAAAGGGGAGGGCTTAGATAATACACTCACCTGAAAATGGCATTTTTAAGTTCACTTATCCGTTCTATAAATCCGTTCAAAACTGTGATGACATCACACAATAGCAGAATGCTAGCGTGTTCCGGCCAACAATGGCCTAACCTGTAAGAAATCAAAAGGACATAAGTACTCGTTCATTTGACTTTTGGCCTATAATCTATATTGAACTTGCGGAATCAACAATAAAATCTATGTTGATTTAACGACAAGCTGGTGACAGAGACACATTTAGCTGTTTAGCCCCGTAGACTCCCATTCATTGTGCACTCGCCCCGCCCGCGATCACCTCCAGTGGAATTCTAATGGAACTGCAACCAAGATGATACACAATGGGGTTAATAGGAAGTGCCAAGGCTCTCCGTTAGACGGGCTCTGGTAACGATTTCGGGACCAGACATGCACAGTAGTGAGCAGGAAGTAAAGCCGTGAAATCAAGGCCCCGCCCTCACTCACGCGGAATCAATCGCAAGCACATGTTCCTGCACTTTTTAAAAATTAATTCTAGAAATTTAGATAATAAATTTAAAGCTCCAATCTCCTCAGTCCTCCGAAGATCTTGAAAAATAAGTCTGTTGGTGCTTCAGTGACTACTTCGCTCAGAGAACCTGTCAATCACAGCTGTCAATCATGACGTCACCAACTAGCTAAAAACAAAGTTATTTTAAAAACAAGCACTTGAAATTACATCAGCGTGATAAGAACTACAGTAAATGACAGAAGCATTTGGAAAAACAATATTTAAAGTGTAAATTTAATTGTTTAGTATAACATGGGGAGGCGGGGTTTATGACCAATCCTACGACCAGCCACCAGGGGGCGATCGAGATGTTTTGGATTTACTTTTCAGGGCTTGTGCGGCACATTTGGTTTCAACGCACCACTACCACAACTCAACTAGGTGTCACCTTGCAACTATAATATAATTTGCAACTATAATATAATATAATATACTATCAAATTTACACAGAAGTCACTTTCAAAGCATCTTTCTGATTGTAAACGCAGCAACCCTTTGCAAAATTAATGCAAAATTCCCAATTACTAAACTTTGCAAGTGAAAATTCACAGAACAATGATAAACCTTAGTCAGAGTACATGGCGACTTTTTGAATTGTAGTCTATGTAGAAGATGCTCTTGAATGCAAAGTGGTACAATGTACCTTGATACCTTTTTAAATCACTCAGAAATCACAGAATGATTTAAACTTCACCACATGACACATTCTCTAGCAAGCCTTTTTAAGTGTGTCTATAATGCCCCCGGTTGCTTTCACATCTAAACTTCTATATCTAGATTTTACATTTAACCATATGGTCAGTCACTGAAAAATATTTACAGATGGATAAAAAGTGGCAGAGGCTTCGCTAACTGTATTTGCATGTGGGCTTAAATGTGTTAGCGTAGACAAACAGAGGGTTTTGTATCATACACACAAGCCTATAGTCCACTATGCACAAGGAGTATTACTTGCTTGGCAGGTGTCTGATGTGCCGTTGAAGTTCCGGATAAAAGACTTCTGGTGTCTTCTGTTTGCTTAAAAATAGCTTTTTCCGTGTGTGAGTCATTCGAAGTACCAAACCTTTTCATGATATTGTAAACTATTGGCTTGGAAGGGGGGAAAAACACCCTGGCATTCTGGATGTCCTGTACTTGCAGGTTGTATATTCAAGTAGAACGTTTATTTCACAAAAGCATTCAGAGGCATGTATTTTGTTCATTTAAAAGCTGCTTGTGTGGATACTTTTATCTGGTAATCTGCAGTAAGTCAGTTTCCTATGTGACCCTGCCATGCTGCAATAGGTTTGATGCAGCAGTTATTCTGTGTGTGAGTGCGTAACACACCATACACACTCACACAATATTAGGCAAGGGTGTGGTCGGAAGACTGCAGTGCTCTTATCTCATATAGTTCCTCTGATCTGCATCATGTACACGTAGGGAAGATTCTGACACTATTAAGCAGATTATTACATTCCTCCTTTGTGCCATAAATCTCTTATATAAATGGAGAATTTCTTCTGAATAATTGACATCCAAATGTGGAAAGCAGGATGCTTAAATTCTGGGTGAACCATATCCATTCTTTCATACGTAGACCTTGAGTGTTTTGAGACTGTTTCAGGAAACTTTATTTAACGTTTGTGCATATTTGGCTCACATTTTTTCAGACTTTGAGTGTATTAAAGGATGGCATTTCATCTTTCCACGACTTTGGTGTTGCTAGTGCCTTCCTTGCTCTACCAGAGTTTTCCTTTTTGTTGCACACATGGCCATGTTTCTAGTAATAATCATATTTATCCACTAAGCAGATTACCACAGGATGTTTTGATAATTTTCCAAGTTTAATCTGCACTTGGCCGCCATCCTGTGGTAGTAAATTGTCGCTGTGGAATATAGTGAGTCAGCATCTCTGCTTGCTCGGCTCATTTAAATTCAATGTAGAACTGCACAATTATGACAAAAAATACTTTCATTGACATTGGAATCACAATTATTAATATTGATTGAATTAATCACTGTAGCCTTTATTCTAAGCTCAATCATTTTTCAGATATTGTCAAAACATACATGCAATACTGAGGGACTAGGAATACTTAAATAACAAAATCAAAATATTAGATTTATTATGCTGAAATGCATGATACACACACCAGATGCAAATGTGTTACTCTTAGCTCCTAATATTTTGAACTCCAGTTCTAAAGTTTCTGGCTTGCCGTCCCATTGCAGGGGCCAGGTTTCACACAGTTGCCTCTGGCTAGTTTGAGCCCTGCAGAATGCTCTAGAACGTCTGGAATTTTATTTGTGTAGACGCCAGAGAAAGGTTTGAGGGGTGATTGTTATGGGTTTCATGGAAAGGCTAGCATAACAAACTCTGACACTGAACTGACAGGATGACAGGGAGTTAAAGTTACCAGACACAATAATAAATCCAACCCAAGGCTATATTATATTATATTATATTATATTATATTATATTATATTATATTATATTATATTATATTATATTATATTATATTATATTATATTATATTATATATGATTGTGATATTTTTCATATATATTTTGCTACTTTTATTTTCAGTAGTATAGCTAAAATAGTATTTTTATGCTTTCTCTCCTGTTTTAATAATGCCTATGAGGTGTTGAGGGATGGAATTCAGCATATGAACTTCAACACGTCCAATTTTTCCTTCGTACCAGCACTGCACAGCACAAACTGATTATCAGTTACTCCTCACTGGAACTACTGGCATGTAAAAGATCTCCAGACGATTGCATTTAGCATTTATGTCATTAATTAAGAACTCAACCAAGCCATGAAAGTGTATTGCAACAATATATATCTGCTATAAGTAGCTTGTACTTTTTTTTTTTTTTTGCTGCTGAAAATGTCAGATGGTTGTCTCCCAAAAAATTCTTGGGAAAATCTGTAACCTTTTAGACGGCACACCATGAATCAATTTTTCATGATTAACTATAAATAGCATACTGAAGTTGATTCCACATTCTTCCAGACCTTAAAAAATCCAGTGAATTATTCACAGGTTCTGATAGTCAAGCATGTAACTTCCCATATCTCATTGTTATCTTTACAATTCACTCACAGATAATGTGCAAGACTTCAGAAGCAGATCTGAGGGAAATCAGTGGAAACTATCCGTTTTGATCTCAGTCTATATACCGACTTTGTGTTATAAGCTAAAGTTCAGGTTAAGTGCCTTAATTCAAGTGTTTTTTGTTTTTTTTTCTTATGTTAGACAATGATAGAAAAGTAGATTGCGGCAATTCATTCGTTCTAATGCCAAATATTTTTGATATTTTATGTAGCCCCCAATTGTCAGTCCTACTGCAACCACATGGTGTCAGTAGTTCAAGCAAAAATATCTGAAAAATGTTTTAGATTAATTTGTTTTTGCTCATACAGGGTTTCCAGCAAGCATTCTTTTTCCTTTAAAGTCCAATAGTTTAGATTGAGTCTGAGTGATACCGATCATGTAGACCAAGATGAAAAGCTCATTAGGCCAAAAGACATCTGTCCTGCTGCTGCAATGTAGAAACTCGAGACATTAGTGTCATGCCTTTATTGATTATCTGATTTTGAAGACATGAAAGCTAACTGTGCTATGTCAATGTAAATGTGTAGATTTAAATGCTGCTATTCTTTGGTTCTCTTGATGGATGTAGACACATGTTGGTTCTTTAAATGTCCAGTAAGCAACCATCCACATTACCCTAGCAACTGCATAGCAACACACTAAAACAATTCATCGCTTTAGTGTAATATACTGGAAAACCAACAACACATGTAGCATCATGGCGGAGACCAGTGTTGC